CACACACACACACACACACACACACACACACACACACACACACACACGAGGATGTTAACTGTTAAAATTAAAGCTTCAAGTTTGCATCATTAGGGGCGTGGCCTCTCTGACTGACAGATAGCTTCACCTGAACTGGACCTCTGGACTGTGTTTGTGCTGTTGGAGCAGTTAAATGACATCAGTCTGTAGTAACAGACAATCCAGGAAGGACTCTGATTGGCTGTCACTGATTAACAGGTATCTATCGTACAGCTTTAGAAACAGCAGATGGTAGTTACAGTAATCTGATTACATTCTATTCATGGCTGTGTGAAGGGATGCACGACCTCCCACTGTCTCCTAGCAACAGTAACCATGGTGCTGTCTGTGGGCAGCAGAGCAGAATGTGCTGTTTCCATGGCGCTGCCTCTGAGATAGCATTCACACACACACACACACACAGATTCCTCTGCACCACTGAGGACCGACAGCCAATCAATCACTGTCGGTTACTGAGGATGATGATGAGAGTGATGAAGGTGTAATCTGAGCAGTTTCCCGGTGAGAACTTAGCACAGCTGGGGGTCAGAGGTCAGGCAGTGATGTCATGGTGCATGACTGTAATCACCTGTTGTTGTACATGAGAGGAGCTGCTGTACTAGCTGGGCTCACACTCTGCGATTTTTGGCCCATTTTGAGCCGATTTTTGAGTCGTGCGACCGTTTTGGTGATCGGCCCGATTTTGGCCTTCATCGTGCGTCGTGTAGTATACGTGGGTTAACGAGATGCGATTAACACCTCACGACCAGCTCCCAATCATCACCTCACGACCGTCGTGAGGGTGTCACCGCAGCTTCTCACACTGCGCACGCGCAAACACATAAACGTCGGTGAAAAAGACGGAGAAGCACAGCAGTGCAGCGTGTGATCTCGACACAAGCGATGGAGGCACTTGTAGAACTTTCGCTCATCCGAGCCTTTTCCATGTGGCCTCACAAAATCATCACGACCACAACAACCGTGAAAATAGTTGGATTTACGTTGCTGCTCAATCACAGATTACCTTCATGTTATGGACGCACAGTGTGAGCACTCAGGTCGCATCAGAGCGTCGGGCCGTATAGTGTGAGACCTGCATCGTGACCTACCAACTTCTAACCCCTGCGAGTCAATCGTACAGTTTGAGCAGGAGCTGAATAACGCTACTGAAAAAATCGCAGTGGTTGCCCAGCTTTAGTAGGAACTCACTGATTTGATCTGATCTCATAGTTTTGATCAGTATTTATCAGCAGAGTCTGAAGTTGATTGAATTCATTTTATTTATAGAGCATTAAATCCTAACAATAGTCACCTCAAGCTGCTTCATACTGTAAAGACTCATAGTAAAACTCCACAATCGTACGGCGCCCTGTGTTTGTTACCTTATGTGTACCTTATATGTGTTTTGTGTTGTTTTGGTTGGAAGCATCAAACGGTTTTTGAGGCTGCGCTGTTGTGATTTATCTTAAATGATGTTGGATCCTAAGAGGAACTGTTAAAGTCAAGTCAAGTGGCTTTTATTGTCATTCCAACCATGTGCAGTGGTACAGTGCAGAGTGGAACGAGACAGTGTTCCTCCGACACCCTGGTGTTACATATGACATATAACTGATGAACACAGGACTTAAAGTGCAACAAAACGAGACAAGACAGATACAAGACAAGAAATGTGCAAAATACTGATCGTTGTGCAAAAAGTAACTTGGTGTCTATAGATGTGTGTGAGATACTGCAGATAAGTGCTTGGTAGTAACATGTGCGAAGGTGTGTGTGTCATTCCAGTCACTGAGTGTTCAGGAATCTGACGACCTGGGGGAAGAAACTGTGTCAACATGTAAACATGCGGCCAGTTTTGGTGAGAGAAGGAAGACAGGATAAAGACATGCTGTGGAAGAGAGACAGAGATTAATAACAGATATGATTCAATGCAGAGAGGTCTGTTAACACATAGTGAGTGAAGAAGAAACACCCAGTGCATCATGGGAATCCCCGGCAGCCTACGTCT